GAGCCAGCACGCGCGCTCGCTGATGACGTACGTGAAGGCGAGGCACTGCGGGTGCGCTTCGCAAGCCGATCGACAGTCGGACGACGACGCGATGTTGTATTGCGCGTCTATGTCCGCTCCGAGAAAGTCGATCTCGTTCATGTCCTTCTTCGGCGCAGGGTTGACTTCGTGCATGACCCACACGAGCGTACCGAGCCACAGGACAGACAGCGCGACCATGCCGAGGAAGTAGTGCGCCCGGCCGAGCATTTTGCAGCCAGGAGTGGTGTTGCCGCAAGGCGCGCGACACACATTGACGTGGCGGCGTCACGGATTTTTCTTCTTTGAGCGCTCTTGCCCACAAAGCTGCCCTCCAGCGCGAGCGAGGCGTGGAAGAGCAGCGAGACGGCCGCGGCGCGAGCGATGTCGGCGGGGCCGTCGCACGAGACGGACGAGAGAGAACAAAACGCGCAATTCGCTCTCACCTGGCAACCCTGTCTGCACGTCTCGCGCGCGCGTGAACAGGGCTCCAGGCCCCAAATGACGTGTGAGTGTTAGAGTTGTTTGGTGGTATTGGGTATTGCTAAAAATCTCGAGAGAGAGAGAGCCAGAGAGGGCGCGCACGAGGAGCTCCGTGGGGAGGTCGAGCAGGCGGGTGGGGGCGTGCCTCGCCGAGGGAGCGGTGGTTGCGGCGGCGACAAAAAAAGAATCTTCGGCGGGCACGTCGCGCCGCATGGTGGCCGCGCTGCGCCGCTCGCCGCTGGCGCGCGGTTGAACGCGGCGCCGACTCCGCGGCGGCGCCATCTCACGCAGCGGGGCGCGTCGCGTCGTCGGCGCCAAAACAGACGCGAGCTCGCGGCGCGGCCGCGGCAGCAAAAACAACAACCGTCTACTTCTCCTTCTCTTCTCGTCTTGTCGCAGGCGCACACGCGCGCGACGTGCGCTCGTTCGCCGCGTTCGCTCCGCGAAGGGCGATTCGAACCGGGAGCCAGTCGGCGCAGCGGCGGCACGCGGCGGCAAAACGCACGACGCTCACCTCATGGAGATGCTGCGGCTTTGGCACCTCCTGATATAATGCTGATTTTTTGCTGAGCGGGGCGGAGGCACGCGGGCGGCGGAGGCGGCGGCGGACGACGTCTACTTCCCCTGTGGTAGCTTAGCGATCAGGGAGGATCTACCTGTTCGGCCTCGAGGAAGCTGCTGGGGGAGAGGGGGGGAGAGAGGAGAGGAGGAGAGGGGAGAGGATAGAAGAGGAGAG